TCTCACAACTCGTCGAAAACGTTGGACTCAACCAATTCATCGTAAACTACACGTCAATCACGGATTCGCCGCGTTTTAAATACCGCGGACTCCTTCTGGACACGTCTCGCCATTACCTTCCCGTTGAGCGCCTGGAGCAGAGTCTGGACGCCATGGCTTACAATAAGCTCAATGTGTTTCACTGGCATATGACGGACGACCAGTCCTTCCCATACGTAAGCCAAGCCTATCCGGAGCTGAGTCTGAAAGGCGCATATAATCCCAAAACACACGTCTATACCAAAGAAAACATTCAACACATCATTGAATACGCGGCCGAAAGAGGGATCAGAGTTGTGGTGGAGTTCGATACGCCCGGCCATACACTGGCCTGGGGTGCCGGACAGCCCGGCCTATTGACACCGTGCTATGCGAACGGCAAACCCAACGGACTCTACGGACCAATAGATCCGTCCAAACGGTCCACATATGAGTTCATCGAAACCCTATTGAAAGAGGTGTTGAACCGATTCCCGGATCAATACTTTCATTTGGGCGGCGATGAAGTGGATTACAACTGTTGGCGCTCTAACCCAGACATCAACGACTTCATCAAACAGAAGAATATCTTCAAAAAGACCACTTCCATGTCCAACAAGAAGTCCAACGAACCGTACGCTAAACTCGAGGAATACTATGTACTCAAAGTGGTTGATATCGTGAAGAAACTGAACCGCACTTCAATCGTATGGCAGGAAGTGTTTGACAATAACGCCAAACTGTCCAACGAAACGGTGGTTCACGTGTGGAAGTTAGACAACTGGCCACTAGAGCTGTCCAACGTTACCAAAGCCGGCTACCAGGCGATACTGTCTTCGTGTTGGTATTTGAATAAGATATCGTACGGAACCGATTGGCACAAGTACTACACGTGCGAACCCTTCAACTTTAAGGCCACTGAACAACAATATAGTTTAGTGATCGGAGGCGAGGCTACCATTTGGGGTATATTATATAATTAGTAACTATTTTTTGGGAACTGTTTCGGTGATCAAATATATCTATAATCTTGCTGTAGGTGAATGGGTGGACGCGTCCAACGTAATTGGGCGAACATGGTTAGCTACAATTATTAGCCCTGGTTGTTTCTAATAAACTGATTTATTGATGTATTAATTTCTTAGGCCTCGAGCGCTAGCAGTTGCCGAACGGCTGTGGAGTTCTCGGGACCTGAAGAACCCAATGGCAGCCAATCGACGATTTGATAGACAACGTTGTCTTATGTAAAGACCGATTGACATCACTATTGCTATAATAATCACTAATTGATTAATTCATTTCGTATTCAAAGGCAAACTCGAGGTCTTCGTGTGGAACCATCTAATGGTGTGGGTTATTGTCAGTGCGATTATCTTGTCTAATAAAATTACATTTAATTTATTTAATCAAAAGTTTTTAAAACTTAAAACAAGAATCTATTTTAAACAATAAAATATTAAATATAAAGTAAAGTGTTAGTGAATTGAACTAGGAAATTGTAAAAATATAGTTAAGATATATTTGAGTGGCATATATTGGCTACGGGTTGTGTCCGCCGGTGCTGTAAGAAGTGTGCGGTAAGAATAACAACCTAGGTTGAAGATATAGCGTTATTAAATAACAGTATGCTTATACTTTAAATAAAATTAAAAAGGGCGTTTCTTTCATGTTATATTTATGCTTGCAATGAAATATATAGTATTTCGATATAATGTTTGAATAATTAAAGCCATAATTAAATTCAAAATCAATTTAAATCAAACGTTTCAATACAAGGGGTTTGACTGTAGGCTAAGCCCAAGCCTTAAATCTCATATCAAACAAACGCTCAATACTCGCGCAGTTATACAGTGTTTGGGGCCCAACGCTAAGCCTATACACAGTGTAAACATGTATTAATGAATGTCTGAGAGGAGAGAGTCTTATCTCAAAAATGACAACAAAATGTGAAATTTTTAGTGCAATTTATTTTACAGTTTAGTAATTGTTTTGTTTTTAAACCACAATTGAGACCAAACTCTTCGGCAAACATACCATCGCTGACCGGACATGCATTTGGATGTGGAAAGCGGTCAACAGCTGATCCATAGTCGGCGCCAGTCGTCCCAATCGGTTACAGTATGTCTGCGACGGGTAATCAATCACTTTCACTGTTCACAATATGTTACCACAGTTTTATACCTCTGGATCTAATGATGTGATGATATCTCTTTGTCTCATCAGAAATGGAAAGGCATACCACGAATGGTGCGGCTATGGCTGATGATAGGTCTGGCGGTCACCGTATTCCTGATACTAGTGTTATATCTACCGAAAGAGGAGTCGTTAGTATCCGCCGCCGACGACACGGATCCGGTCGTCAGACCTCCGCCTCAATCGCAGCCGAGAACTGACGGCCAGATTTCGGACAATATTAATAATAAACCAAACAATCAAATCAATAGACCAAACGTTAACCACAAAACCGATGACAATAATAATAATGATAATGATTACAGAGATAGAGCCAAAGGGTATACGAGTTTCGATCAAACTCTGGCCACAATCGACGGCCTTTCGGTGAATGTATTCAAAGAGTCGATTGAGAGACACGAATCGGCCGAACAGAAGGCCATTGTGGAGGCGTTGCGGCACTCGTGGGACGCGTATCGGGAGTACGCGTGGGGTGCGGACCATCTCAGGCCTATCACCAAATCCAAGCATAACTGGTTTAGCGTTGGGCTAACCATAAACAGAAGGCCATTGTGGAGGCGTTGCGGCACTCGTGGGACGCGTATCGGGAGTACGCGTGGGGTGCGGACCATCTCAGGCCTATCACCAAATCCAAGCATAACTGGTTTAGCGTTGGGCTAACCATTTTGGACTCGTTGGACACACTTATAATGATGGGTCTTAAAGACGGTCTGACTATTGATTCCTTAGCGTAAAGAACCCATTGTTTTGCTAACTTATGATTTGTTTTTAACACAGAATTCAATGACGCTATGAATTGGATTAAAAACGACTTACGCTTTGATATCTATAAGGATGTCAACTGTTTTGAGACGACTATCAGAGCACTGGGTTTGTGGTGTCATATCAAATAACAGATCCGTGAATATCCGTTGTCTTTGTATATGTTTAGCGGGACTCCTATCGGGTTATCACTTGTCGTCGGAGCCGACGCTACTTATAAGAGCGGCCGATTTGGGCGAACGTCTGATCCATTGTTTTGATACTCCCAAGAATTTGGTGCCTTTCAGTGACGTTAATCTCCAGACAAAGAGCGCAAAGACGCCCAACTGGTCGCCCGACTCTTCACTGTCCGAAGTGTCGACCGTTCAGTTGGAGTTCCGGGACTTATCCTATTTGACCGGAATTAAGAAATACGAGGTTTGCGACCAACCATTGAGTGCTTTTTTAAATTGTTTTAAACGTTTGTTTTAACTTTTCTTGTTTTCATTGATTTGTTGGTAACGCAGAAATTGTCATTCCGGACGTCACAACACATCCATAACCTGACCGTCAAAAGTGGCAAATATTTGCTTCCAATGTATATAAATCCATATACGGGTACGGATTAGCCGTTTTAATTCACTTGACAATAATTTAATTGACTTAATGATGAAAATACAGGTCAGTTCAGCAGAGGGACCATAACACTGGGCGCTCGCGGCGACTCGTACTACGAATATCTGCTCAAACAATACATTCAAACCGGTATTCCATGGCTTAAAGAGGATTACATTAAATCGATGGATGAGCTCCAGAAACGACTGGTGCGGACGACTAAAGGGCCGCTAAAACTGACATTTATAGGCGAAATGTTGCGCTCAAACAGCTATAACGATATCCATCCAAAAATGGATCATTTGGTGTGTTTCCTGTCGGGAACGCTGGCTCTCGGGTACTATCACGAGGTGGTGAGAGGGCCCAAAATACACGGCCATTCAGTGGCCGAGGACTCGCCGTTCAACGAGCACCTGGTGTTGGCCGAGAAGTTGGCCCGAACTTGCAATTACATGTATAACCTGACAAAGACTGGTCTGTCGCCCGAAATCGCGTACTTTGACGAGACGGGCAATGAGGACGAGTTCCAGATCAGACCCGCCGACGCTCACAATCTGCTTCGTCCGGAGTTTGTCGAGTCGTTGTTTTATTTATATCATATCACCGGTAAACCTATATATAGGACGTGGGGCTGGCAGGTAGGTGTCCACACATACACACCTATACACCGGTGCTTGTGTTTAGTGTTTAGTTAATGTATTGGTTTTGTTTTGTGTTATAGATATTCCAAGCGTTTAATAAGTACACGAGAGTGAAGTCCGGCGGCTATACCTCTATAGATGACGTGAGAAATCCCGATAACGTTCGGCCCAAAGACATGATGGAGTCGTTTTGGTTTGCAGAGACTCTTAAATATTTATATCTATTGTTTTGTGACGACAAACAGATTGTTAGTCAACTGTTGGACAAGTATGTGATCAATACTGAGGGGCATATAATACCCATTAGGACCTAATTGCTAACAATTG